CTCTCTTGCTGTCTCTCTCTCTCTCAAATAAATAAATAAAAATCTTAAAAAAAAAAAAAATTGAGTTAACAGAGAGGCACCTGCCTGGCTGGGTCCGTAGAGTGTGTGACTTTTGACCTCGGGGTCGTGAATTTGAGCCCCACGTTGGGGGGCTTTAAAGAGATTACTTTAAAAAATAATACTAATAAAAAAACAAAACCAAAAAACCCTGAGTTCAGAGAATGTGGCTTCAGCTGGCAGAGTTCTTTGAAGATGCCCAAATGCAGCTCCCAGCTGGAGGAGACAGGGGTGACTCCAGTGGGGTCCCCAGGTCCTGGTCCCCCAGGGGAGGCAAGCGGACGGGTCTCCTCAGGGCCAGTTGCATGTGCCTCTCTCTGCCCCCACAGTGGTGACCATCATCAAGGGGAAGGTGGAGGAGGTAGAGCTTCCGGTGGAGAAGGTGGACATCATTATCAGCGAGTGGATGGGCTACTGCCTCTTCTACGAGTCAATGCTCAACACCGTGCTCTACGCCCGAGACAAGTGGCTGGTGAGGCCCCCTGCAGGGTGGGAGCAGTTCACAGAGCCTGGGCTCCTTCGGCCACGTGTTGACCACCTATCGGTCAGGGCCTGGGCAGAAAACCAAAAGCCATACTAGATATTTCCCCCACAGGGGACTTCATGCAGGGGACTGACTGCTCAGATGTGGGAGGGCCCAAAGCCAGGATGGGAGGTCACAGGCACCAGAAGCTAGACAGTGACAAGGAGACAGAGTCAGGAGGTGGCTGGTGCTGGGGTGCTGGGAAGAAGACCATAGCAGTGCGAAAGGATGGGGGGAGCCCAGAGGGCCATGGTTCCAGGTGCTCAGGGAGCAGGCTCCCCAGGGGGCGGTGACTGAGACCTGAACAAGGGGTAGGAGCTGCAGGAGATCTGGGGTGAAGAGCATCTGGACAGAGGAACTGGTGCAAAGGTTCTGGGGCAGGAGTGTTCTCACTGTGTGTTGAGGAACAGCGGGGAGTGGCCTGAGGGTCTGGAAGAACAGTAGAAGGGAAAGGGGTAGAGGGGCCTGAGCATCCCCGTGAGACTTTAATTTTCCTCTCTGAGGAGCCAGGGAGAGTTCTGCAGATTCTTCAGAACCTATGAAGGACAGGTCTGAGACTTAGGTGCTCCTGGATGCCACCTGGCAGCCGTGTGGGGAGTAGATGCGGGCGTGAGAGCAGAAGCGAAGAACCAGTGAGGAGGCCATTGTAGGAGTCCAGATGGCTCAGACCGGGGTGCGGATAGCATGTGTGGATAGAGACCCAAATTGTCAAGGTTTAGGGGCAGTGTTCCAAGCCTCCCCGCCCCAATCCTTCACACCCTCCCCTTACCCCTCGGCAGGCCCCTGATGGCCTCATCTTCCCGGACCGAGCCACGCTGTATGTGACAGCCATTGAAGATCGTCAGTACAAAGACTACAAGATTCACTGTGAGCTCAGGGGGGCCCCCCCCAGGAGCTCGGGGGGCGGGGCAGGCTTGGCCTGGGTGCCCCTGATGGGCTCACCCCTCCTCCTTGCCTGCCTCCCCAGGGTGGGAGAACGTATACGGCTTTGACATGTCTTGCATCAAAGACGTGGCCATCAAGGAGCCCCTGGTGGATGTGGTGGACCCCAAGCAGCTGGTCACCAATGCCTGTCTCATAAAGGTGAGGGGGGGTGTGGCCAGGTGTCCCCAGGGTTGGAACCAAGGAAGGGCCACCAGCTGACCCTGGACAAGGCATCGGGTCGCCCAGTGTTTGCCTGAGGCCTGGGAGTCTGGCCTGTTGGCCAGAGGTGGCGCTAGAGGCCCAGAGAAGCCACTTAAATCCATTAAAAAGCTTCATGAGCCAAGCCCCGTGGGTGGTTCCAGGTGCCACCGGGAGCAAGACCAGTGAGCAAGACCAGACTGGTGGGCACTGCTCTGGGGGGATGCATTCCAGGGGGGCACCCCTGAGCTGGTCAGCACTCCGGATGCGGGAAGCTCAAGGCCCTGAGCGAGTTGATATGCACTTGGGCCACTGATGGCAGTGATCGGTTCTTGACCCCCTCGGTGTCCACACACAGAGCCGGACACTGGGGTGAGCCCTAGAATTGCGCTGGGCTGTGAGAGGTGGCCCAGACCTGGTGGAGGAGGAGGGAGTCTGGAGTGAGTGAAGACAGGAGCTGGGAGGGTGGGCACCAGGGAGCTGTCGGAGGGATTTTGAGCAGGAGTTTGACATGAGCTGATGGACAGTGTTTTAAAATCGTCACATTGGCTGATAGGTCGGGTAAGGGGCTGTGGCGGGGGGTGGGGGGGGCAGAGGTAGGGAGCTCCGTGAAGAGGCCCCCGGGCAGGGCGAAGGCCATGGAGAAGGGCTAACAGGCAATTCTCAGAAGCAGAAGTAGTAGCCCTAGGAAGTAGAACCGTCCGGTGTGGGCTTTGGCCATGTGAGAGAAGGAAGCAGGACCACAGCGTGGCACCCCCAGGCTTCCCCGCCTCCCGCTGGGCTGCGTGTTGGGGAGTGGGGCTCACGGGGCCTGTCCCGCAGGAGGTGGACATCTACACTGTCAAGGTGGAAGACCTGACCTTCACCTCCCCCTTCTGCCTGCAAGTGAAGCGGAATGACTACGTGCACGCCCTCGTGGCCTACTTCAACATCGAGTTCACCCGCTGCCACAAGAGGACAGGCTTCTCCACCAGTGAGTGGGGGGGGGGGGCAGGAACCAGCAGGGGGAGCCAGGGGGCCGGTCATGCCTCAGTTTCCCCACCCGTGAAACAGAGGAACCGACAGTTCCTCTCCAAGGCTTGATGAGGGTGAAGGGATTCAGGGATGGTGGACCCCAGTCGAGGCTCAGCAGAGGTCATAGAGGGGCCAGGCCGAGGCCCAGGGTGGGGGCTGGACAGGAGGCCTGGCGGCTGGCCGCATCCCGGCTGACCCGACTGCACCCCCAGGCCCCGAGTCCCCCTACACGCACTGGAAGCAGACCGTGTTCTACATGGAGGACTACCTGACCGTGAAGACAGGCGAGGAGATTTTTGGCACCATCGGCATGCGGCCCAATGCCAAGAATAATGTGAGGCGCTGCGGGGCCGGCGGGGGTGTTGGGCTCAGGAGGGGCATCGCTGCCTGTTCTGGGGCTCCAGCAGCCCTCTGCTCGGTTGAGTCTGCGACCCCTGGGGAGACCCCAGGTGGATGGGAGGACAAAGGGCCTAGAGTCCCCGGGGGGGGGGGGCCTGGGCTAGGAGTGTGGATCTGTGGGCGTGGGGCCGGGTGATGCTCAGGGAGCGCTGCCGGAATGGGTGTCCCAAGGCCACAACCCCTCTCAGAGGACACGTGTCACTGGAGACCTTTTGGGCTCTCACACCTGGAGAAAGATGCTAGTAGCATCTAGCACAGGACAGTGAAGAAGCCTCGACTGTGACTCCCAAATGTCAGTAGTACAGAGCTTGGAAAACCCTGGAGTAAAGAGACCAAAGGAGAGGCCCAGAGAAGCGGGAGGGAGCCGGGAGCCGGGAGCCGGGAGCCGGGAGCCGGGAGCCGGGAGCCGGGAGCCGGGAGCCGGGAGCCGGGCGAGGTTGGGGGCCTGAGGGCAGAAGTCTTCAAGGTTACTGGCGGATTTTGGCCCAAGCCTTTCGAGGGAGTGCTGGGGGGTGGGGAGCACGGAGCGAGGCCTGGCTTCCAGGAAGCCTGGGAGCTGAGGGCGTGCGGACTGTGGGGTCGTGACCAGTGAGTGTTGCCGTGAAGGAGGAAGTGTGCTGGAGGAGAGGTGTGCTTCCTAGAAAAGAGGGAGGGAGTCACTGCTTTACTGATGGGAACGGTGCTGATGTGGGACCGACTGTCATGCCTGCGAGCTCTGCCCTGGAGGGGTGGGCTTGGCTGGGCTCCAGGTGCCTTTGAGAGTGTCACCCGCGGCTGGGAGTCAGGGCTCAGGGCGGATGCTGAGGGTGGGACCTGCAACGTGGGGTCTCCCAGCCTGGACGTGGGGGTCTCCGGGGAGCTTGGGAGGTGGCTGGGGATGCACTCCCTGCAGCCGCTTCCTGACTCAGACGGTTCCAGGTCTCTGCCTCTCCCATGTCCAGTCCCCCTCACATCTGCCCTCTCCCCACAGCGCGACCTGGACTTCACCATTGACCTGGACTTCAAGGGCCAGCTGTGTGAGCTCTCCTGCTCCACTGACTACCGGATGCGCTGAGGCGGGCCCGGCTTCTCCCACCCCGGCCGGGCCGGCCCTGCACGGGCCCAGGGGCTGCGGCGTTCTTAGGCAGTTTGGGGGCTCCCCCTTCCTCTCCTTCCCTCCCTCAGAAGGGGGTTTTAGGGGGCTGGGCTGGGGCGGGGCACATCGTGACTGTGTTTTTCATAACTTATGTTTTTATATGGTTGCATTTACGCCAATAAATCCTCAGCTGGGACGGCTTGGCTTCCTGGGGGGCACAGTGGGGTTGGGGTTCGGTCTGCAGGGGCTGCGATGACAGCCTGAGCAGCGGGGGCTGCTGGGATGGCACCTGCTGGTAGCTGTAGGTCTCTGTCCCCACCTCTGTGTCTCTAGGTCTTGCTCTGTGGCTCTGGCCTCCAGTGGTCTCTGCTCCCCTGCCCCCCCCAGTCTCCCTCACTTGTGCCCCCTGAGGCCCTGTTCCCTCTTGTCCCCATTGGGCAGGGCTCCTGCCCCCGGTTGCCCTGCTGGGCTGGGGGAGGGTTGGGGTGTGGGTTCCCAGCAGAGCTGGGTCCTTAAGTTTCCCAGAAAGTCATCCTCCCTCCCCCCCCCCCCCCCCAGTGCACACATTGTTCCACTGTGTGGCTGTTTTTTCCTGTCCAGGACCCTCCAAGGCCAGGCCGGGGCTGACTGGCAGTGACTACTGCCCTGCCCTCTGCAGGTGGGGAAACTGAGTCATGGGGGGGTATGTTAAGGGGATAGAATTCCTTGTGCGTCTGCTTCCTCCCCCAGCCTAGCTTGGGACTTGGAGGTGGGGGACAAGGGTGGGGGGGGGTGTCCCACCTTAGGGCAGCAGGGCCTCCCCGCCTCCCCTCTTTACAGAGATGGACTCAGAGGCCCCACTGACAGCTCCCCAGGGGCTGTGTGTTCAGCTGCTGCTGCAGGCGTGGCATCTACACCTGACCCTTCCTCACGGCCTTGTGCACGGAGTCCCTGGTCCCCCAGGGTGCTGTCCACAGGACCTGGATCACCTAAGCCATGACTTCCCACGGCCCTGGCTCCACCTGCTTCAGTACAGCTGGAGCCCTAGGCCTGGTGGCGCTTCACACCCGTCTACACCTAGTCCTCTTCCGGGATGGTGTCCGCCCGCGGTGCTAGGGCCCAGACTCCCTTTGTCTACAACCCGACATGGCTCCGCTCGCTCCCCGCATTGCCCAACCCACGAAGGGGCCCGGCCCTGGAGACCTCGAGGTCCTCAACGAGTTGAGGTTGAGGTCGCAGGAGCCCAGCGCCTCCCTTCCCCCACCCCTTTCCTGGAAGCCCTAAGCTGTGTCACCACTAGCAGGTGTCAGCTGCCCCGCCCTTCTTCCCTCTGCCTTAAAGGGGTCCCTCTCCCGAGGCCTCCCAGGGTCATAGCTCCGCCGTGTGACCGCACCCGCGAGGGCTCAGAAGCCAAGGAGTAGAACGTGGGGGTCCGGGTTCTAAGCCTCCCCTTCTGGCGTGGTGTGGCCTCCTCGGCTCTTGGCCGCAGTTTTCCCCACCCGGGCAGGGGGGGACTGGCGCCCAAGCGGGCCTCCAGGGGACTGTCGGACTCGGGAAGGGGGCGGAGCCGCACCCCGGAGGGGCCGCTTCGCACATGGGTTTGGAGGACCACTCCCGGCCCCACCCCACGATGACTGCCCACATCCTCCTGTTGCTTCTCGCCTCCTCCGTCCTGGGGGACCCGGACTCCGTGGGCAGGTGAGAAAGGCGGGTGGCGGCGGGGACAGGGCAGGAAGAAGCCCGCGAGGAGCGTGCGCCCTCTTCAGGCCACTGCTTCCCGCGTCGGTGGAACGATGATCTGGAAGCGCGCCTCTGCGGTCGCGGAGTTCTGGGTGCCCCGACCCCACCGAGACCCCTTTCTCGAGAGGATTCTGTTTGAACCCGGCCTTCTCCCCTGCTCCCTCCCCAGGCAGCCCCGGCACCGCAGGCGCCTCTGTTCCCTGGGCACATGCCAGACCCACCGCCTCCCAGAGATGATATACTGGCTCCGCTCTGCCTCCATCAAGGAGCACTCAGGGAAGGCCGGCCGCGAGCCCCAGGACCCCCACAGCTACGGGCGCCGCCGTCGGCGCGAGGCCAGGGTCCTGCTCCGTCTCCAGGACCTTGGCCTGAAGAAAAGAGGCCAGCGCAGTGCCCAGCTTCCTGGGTGACGTCAGGCACGTCCCTGGCCCTCCCCTGGCCTCAGCTTGCCCATCTGTGTATTGGGGCCACGACCCCAAGTTTCTTTTCCCCTAACTCCATCACCTGGGCTCACTGAAAAACTGTCTCCCCCCGCTGTGATCTGGGCTGGACCCAGGGGCACACCGGACCCAGCATGTACAAAGAATACTAACGTCCAGAGCCTAATAAAACGAGTTTCCTGTTTCAGACTCTGCTTGTCTGTGCCCATTCCGTCCTCCCTATCTGAGCCCAGTATCTCACATATTCGTCCCCTTATTCCATGCACCTTTTCCCACACGGAAGTCCCTCTGACTATCTAACTTGAATCCAATCCGCTGTAGCTTCTCCTTCGCACGACTCAGTCCGTGCAGCTTGCATTTTCCGTGGGCGGTTTCGGTGGGCCGACCCAACCCCAAAGCGGCCCTCCCTCCTCGGGATGGTAGAACTTTGATTCGCTCTGGCTCGATACCCACGCGCGTGACTTTACGTGTACCCAAAGGTGGGCTGTGGGTTCCAAGCTGAGCCTCGTTTTGCAGAGAGGAAGGAGAGTGAGACAAAGCGGAGTGGGAAGCCCAAGAACCTGGGGTTCGGAGGCGAGGAGCAGCTCAGAACCCGGGAAGCCAACGGTGGAGAAATCGGGCGGAGTAGAAAAAGACTGAGGGCTAGGGAATCGAACGGAGGGAGAGGATTGGACGCCGGGATTCGAGGGGGCGGGGATAGAACGCAGAGGGTTGGAAGGGGGCGGGGATAAAACCAGAGACTCTAATACCCGGCAAGGCACGCGCGAGGCAGAAATCCGGGTGCCTGGATGTTGGATAATCGGGGGCGACCAGGAGCTCCGGAGGCCCGACGACCAAGTCGCGGACTCGTCGCCCTGGGATTGGACATATGCAAGTGGGAGACTTGGGTCTGGCGCTCTAAATCGAGGGTGGGGGAAATCGAGGGTGGGGGGGTGTGCTCGGGCTTGGTCGCCAGGATCGGATCGGCGGACCTCTGACTCAGCGTGGTAAGTATTTGGAGGGGCTCGAGCTTCTGCGGGGCCTGGAGGCCTGTGTCTTGGGTTGGGCGCGCGGGCCTCTCCATCACTTGTCCTCGAAGCTCGCATCGGCTCACAGCCTCAGCATCCCTGGCTGTGAGGCATGCGCAGTAGGGTGCTCCCGCCCCCATCCCCTCCAGCCCCCGGTGCGGGGGATGGGCCACCCTAGAGCGGACGAATTTATAGACTTCCCCCCCCCGCTCCTCCCCCGCCACTCCCCACCCACCCCATCCCCCCCACCCCCCTGTCGCCCTGGCATGGGAAGCGGAAATGGGGCGGACGGTGCCAACGTCCGGCAGGTGTTCATTTCAAATGGGTCTCGGACTGATGTTTTTCTCTAGACCCCGCAACTCAACCCTGGACCAGTTTCCCGCCCCCAACCCTGAATCTTTGAAAGTCCTTCATGGGGAGGGGCGCCCTGCCTTGCACCTCGTTCTCAGCAGAACAGCAAAAGGAATTAACGCGAGTTGTCCCTCCTGCCTCTCTATGCGTTCACAGAGGTCCCCAACTGACGTCCCTCCAGCACCGGAGGTGTCTGGCCAAGTCCTTCAAGACCCCTCAGGTGATTAGGGAAGGGTGAGCTGCCGTCCTATATTCCTGGGTCTGTAGGAGGAGGGGGTTGGGGGCCCGGACTCCCGGGTGTGAGGCTGGGGACCTAGAGAATGACCCTCTGTCCACCTCCCGGGGCTCTAGGGTGACATGGCTGAAGCGCACCAGGCCGTGGGCTTCCGACCCTCGACGACCTCGGACGGGGCCGAAATGGAGCTCAGTGCCCCGGTGTTGCAGGAGATCTACCTCTCCGGACTGCGCTCCTGGAAAAGGCACCTCTCCCGTTTCTGGGTGAGGAGAGCCACGACTTGGTTTTCTTCCAGGGATCCATTTAGGTGCTTCAGGGGTGCCTGAGGCCCACTCCAGCGTCTGGGTGATTCCCTCAGGGGATCCTATCACCCCCTTCTGAGAATTTTGCTGTCGACTTTCAGAAGCCCTTAAATAGCCATTTCTGTGTTCTCCGAGGCTCACTTGGGAACCCTCAACCTCACCTACTGGGAACCTCTATTCACCTCTCTCTTAACACCACTTCCGGGACCACTTCCCTTTTTCCTCACACCCCCCAAACCCAAATTCCAGTTTCTAGAATTCAGACCCCAGACCCCATGGTGCTCCCCTCCCCCTTTCGTCTCTAGGTTCTAAACTGGGTGCTCATTTCAGAACACTGTGACCCGATCAAGATCTTGGTCAGCCCGCACCCCAATCCCGAAGGGCCCTTCTTCCCCCAGCCCGTGCCCCTGGGTCTGGGGGCCGCCTCCTTGCCCTCACTTCTGAATCCCCAATACCCTTCTCCGGTATGCAGTGCACCTTCCCTGTGGTTCCGGGATGTGAACCTCCAAATGTCTAGATCCACACTTCTCCATCCCTATAGACCCTGCTGTCCCAGTCTGGGCTCGTTGCCCTTGCTCTAGAATGCCCATGCCCAACCTCTAACCAGAGCCCACGCCTGCCCCCAGGGTCACCAGTTCTAGAACTATGGCCCTGCGTACATCCAGAGTCTCCCTGTCTGTGAACACAAATCTTGAACACTTGTGGGGCTGGCCAAGCCTGACTTTGAATCCTGGCTCGGCCACTTACCAGCTGCGTGGCCTTGGGCAAGTGCGCCTCTCTGAGGCTCAGTTTCCCCACATGTCAAACGGGGGTGATGATAACACCTCCCTCAACAGGACAGTTGCGAGGATTAAGTGAATTCTTCTTACATATAAGCACTGAGCGAACCGCCTGGCCCATGTCAAGTGCAGAGTAAGTGTTAGCTTTTGATAATATTGTTCTTGATTCATTAGCCAGATATCTATGGAGCATTTATTAAGGGCCTGCCACTGCTTGGGACACTGGGGACATGGCAGGGAGCAAGACAGAATCCTGCCCTTGTGGAACTCTTGATTTAGTAGGAGGAGAAGGCCATAAGGGGACACATAAGCAAGATGTGGAGTATGTCAGATCACGTGACATGTGCTATGGGAGAACAGTAAGGCCCGCCAGGTGGAAAGAGGGAGCCTTGGGGGTGTTGTCACTAAACAAGGGGGTGGCCCGGGCCCTGGAGGATTTCCTGAAGCTGAGACGTTTGAACAGGCTGGATTGAACCTCTATAACCTTATGAGTTATTAAAATAGAGAGATATCTGTTCCAGTGGATAAATAGCCACTACCCCAGACCCCCAAAGAGTTTCTGTCTGTTTTGTTTTGTTTTTTTAAGATTTTATTTTCAAGTAATCTCTACACCGGACATGGGACTCAAACCCACAACTCTGAGATCAAGAGTCACGCACTCTACTGACTGAGCCAGCCAGGTGCCCCCCCGCCCCCGCCTCCAAAGAGCAGGGGAACCCCCTGGGCCTCAGGCTAATCCATCAATTAAAACATTACCATGTGGCCATTAGCCTGTGGTTAAATACATAAAGACACATATACATACACACACATAAGTGTGTGTATTAAAAATTAAGATATAGTTTCAGAAAAAAGGCAGTTTTAAAATATACAGTCCTTGAATTTTGACAATACCCGTGTAACCAACTTCCTATCAAGACAGCCTGGCCTGGACCATTCTAGAATGTTCCTTTGAGCCCTTTTCCGGTGCACGCCCCCCACTCAAGGCAGCCGCTGTTCTGATTCCTATGCTTGTAGGTGGATTTTGACTAGTGCTGCGCTGTTGACTTTTTGACCCCTAGTTTTGAGTCCCTCCCCCCCGCAGGCCCTCTCATTAGTGTAAATTGGTAATTGTAATAATGATCATTCTTGCCTTTCTATCACATAGCCACCTCTCTCCCTGTTGGACACCTGATGCTCTTATGTCTTCCTCTTCCATTGTGGGACCCCATGGGCCACCACGAAGTCTCGTAGCTCCTGGAACACAGTCCCAGGGTGAGGGCTGTGCCCTCAGCAACCACAGGGCTGAAATTCCATAATTTCTTCATTTATAAAATGGTATCCCTGACAGTCCCTCCCTCAAGGGATTGTTGCAACCATTAGTGGCTTTAGCAGAAGGCCTGACTCACAGAAGGGACCCGTCCAACATTGCTGTTTTATGATCCTGGTGGTTCCACATAGGTACTGTGTGTCCCCTGGCATGTTCTTAACTTCTCTGAGCCAAATCGCATTAGGTAATATTTAGTGTATCCTGGGCTCTACACTCACCAAGCCCTTTAAATGTTATTGCGTGTGAATGACTCTTGATCTCGGGGTCCTAAGTCGGAGCCCCACAATGGGTGTAGAGATTATGCAAAACTAAAATCTTTTTTTTTTTTAAGATTTTATTTGTTTATTTGACAGAGAGAGAGAGACAGCGAGAGAGGGGACACAAGCAGGGGGAGTGGCAGAGGGAGAAGCGGGCTTCCCGCCGAGCAGGGAGCCCGATGCGGGGCTCGATCCCAGGACCCTGGGATCATGACCTGAGCCAAAGGCAGATGCTCAACGACTGAGCCAGCCAGGCACCCCAAAACTAAGATCTTTTAAAAATAAAAATAAACCTATTGCTCACTTGATCCCCCTTATAGCCATCTAAGGTAGACCTATTATTAGTCCCATTTTACAGATGAGGGAACAGAGGCCCAGAGAAGGGCTTTTTCACTTTCCCAAGGTCACATAGCTGCTAAGAGGCAGAGCTAGAATTAGTCTGGCTGTGGTGCCCACGCCCATGCCTGCTCTCCTGGGCAGGACCTATGCCATGGGGCTGTCGTGGATTATGTGCAGTGGGTCATTTGGGCCAAGCAAGTGGCACAGCATCCATGTGGGTCATTCATCAGCAGGAGGTCAGAGGGATTCCTGAGTTGGTTTCCAAATGCATACGAGATGTGGCACCTTGCAGTGCATCCTGTTGCATTAGGGTCCTGAGGCATCTGGATGATTTGAGGGGTTGACATTGGACCCTCTGTGGCTTTGGACAAGTTCTTCCAACCTCTTCTCTTCTTGGTTTTCTTCACCCGAGCGATGGACATAACGGTATTTACTGCTACCTTACTGAGGAACAGGGCAATGAGATGATTTATTGATGCGCCTGGTCCTTGGGAAGTGCTCTGGGGACATTTCCTGTTATTACAAAGCCCCTGTTCTATGACAATCCAGAGCACCAGATAAAGGAGCCAGCAGCTTCTCTTAAAAAGAAGTCCTAAACAACGAAAGCACCACGTTTGCCTGTAAGCTTTGCTGGCCAAACCAAAGAAAGATCGTCAAGTGAATAAATCCCCAACAAGAAGGAGAGTAGCAATAGAAAGGGTCATTGTAATCATGTTTACCGAGCGCCTACTGTGTGCCTGGCTCTGAGCTATGCAATTCGCCCTCCTCCCAGCCCCCTTGGCTTTATTTTTCTCCATAGTCCCTATTGCCATCTGTCACACTACCCTAAATCCTTTTGGGTATCTACTGTCTCTGTCCCCCAGGAGAGCAGGACTCTTGCTGTCTTCTTGTCACCGCTGTAGGACTGCAATCAGCATTTGTGGAAGGCCATTTTCTCATCCCACCCTCGTGACAGCACTATGAGCCCTGTACTGGGATTGTTCCCATTCCACAGATGAGGAAACCGAGATGGAGAGGGGAAGCCACTTGTTTGCGGTCACTTAGCTTGTTAGTGACAGAGCAGGGATTTTCAGCCCAGGGCTCCAGAGCCCAAGTTCTAAAGCACGATCTCTGAGGCTTTCCTGTTGGCTAAATGTGGGGGAAAAGAGAGAACGTGGTTTCTTGAGCCCTGATGCCGATACCCCCACTAACAGTAGCTCTTATCGTGGTGTGTGACCTTGAACCTAAGTGTTCTTTCGTAAAATGAGATCACTAAGTACCCACCTCACAGGGCTGTTGGGGGGATTTTAAGAGCTCATCCTTGTAGAAGGTGCTTGGTCATGAGACTCGGTTAAGTGTTAGTTATCTCCATGACACTTCCCTGGGAGTCTGGTTAGTAGCCCATGACTTTCATTCATTCCATGGCCATGTAGTTCTAGAAGGCCTACCGAGCTCCAGACCCTGCTGTATATGGGGGATCATTTTGCCTGAGAGTAACCTCCAGAGAACCCTCCCTGACTCCTTCAACTTGAGCAACCTGCCTCTGCAGGGCTCCTGTGCCTTGCTTTATGTCCACTGGCACTCACTTCATTCCTGCCTCACCTCCCTGAGGGGGCAGGACCCAGATCTGTCTGGTTCCCACGGGGTCTTGAACACCCAGCTTGGGGTTCAGCACACACTGGGTACTCTGTCAATATCTAAGAATTGTGCTCAGAGGAGGGATAATTGATTGAATGGGTGCCCTTTCCTCCCCACAGAATGACTTTCTCACTGGTGTGTTCCCCGCCAGCCCGCTCAGCTGGCTCTTCCTCTTCAGTGCAATCCAGCTCGCCTGGTTCCTCCAGCTGGATCCTTCTCTAGGACTGATGGAAAAGATCAAAGAGTTGCTGCCAGACTGGTGAGCTCCCCCACCTGCGCTGAGTAACCTCCCTAATGCCTCTCCCTCCACCCAGTGAGTTTCTCTATTAGTGTGGCATGCCTGCTAAAAGTAACCTCAAAAATACATAAATAAACAAATAAATAAATAAAAAAGAAAAGTAACCTCTGAGATTCACTTTGGGTCAGATTATAAAGGTACAGCACGAGGAAAATGGAGGTGATTTCATCCCTTTCTTGCTAAGAGGGACACTGACAAGCTAGAAAACGTCCAGATATGGTTATATATGCACTGACAAAAGTAGGAGCTCTGCTGGGCTCCAGTTGTGTAGTCTTAGGCAAGAGACTTCACCGTTCTCTTGTCAGTCTTCATTTATAAAATGTAGGTAATAATAATTGCTTCCTAGGGTGGTTGGGAGAATCAAACAAAAGCATGCACATGGAAGGGTACCCAGCTGGCTCAGTAGGTGGAGCATGCGACGCTTGACCTCAGGGTCGTGAGTGCGAGCCCCACGTTGAACATGGAGCCTACTTAAGTAAATTAATAAAATAAATAAATAAATAAATAAATAAATAAATAAATAAAATCTTTTTTTAAAAAAGCATGCATGTGATCCATTCAGTACAGGGCCAGGAGGTTACTAAATGAGAGTGGTTGTATTATTGTCATTTTGGAGAAAGTTTTGGAAGCCAGGTGCAGGTGAAGTGACAGGTTCTAATGGTTCTAATTCTTGGCTTAATCCCCCTGGGGATGAAGGTTCAGGTTTTGTACAGATAGTTCCAAAGGGCAGACCCAGAATCAGAGGTAGGAATTTCCAGGAAGGCTAGATTTATCCAGTGTTCAGAGGGGAAGTAACTCCCCCCCCAAGTCCTCCAGGTGGGCCTTGCTCACACGTCTGATTGCCACTTTGCAAACATGTTGATCTACGGTAGTTGTCGATCAGCAGATCAACGTTTTCTTAAACCTGAGTGTGTACTGGAACCACCTGGGAGGCTTGTTAAAACACTGATGGCGGGGGCCCCACCCCCAAGAGATTCTGTTTTAGTAGCTCTGGGTGGGGCCCGGGGATTTGCATTTCCAACCAGCTTCCAGGCCCTTCGGATGCTGCTGGGCTAAGGGCCACACTTTGAGAACCACTGCTTTAGAGTAGAATTTGATTGTTGGGAGAGAGAAGTGTGTCCCTTCTTTTTCTTTTTTTTTTTTTAAGATTTTATTTATTTGAGAGAGAGAGAGCACGTGAGGGGAGAAGGAGCAGAGGGAGAGAGAGAAGCAGACTCCCCACTGAGCAGCGAGCCCGACATGGGACTTGATCCCAGAGGACCCTGGGATCATGACCTGAACTGAAGGCAGATGCTTAACCAACTGAGCCACCCAGGCGCCCCAAATGTGTGTCCCTTCAAAAAAAAACAAACAAAAAAACCCAGCTCCCACTTATTAAGTACCTATCAGTTTCCATGGGAATTGATTTTAGGAGCTTTGGTGTCCTCACGAACCCGGGGGGAGAAGGGGTGGCATAGAGAGAGAGGATCCATGCCTACTTTACAAGGGAGGAAAAGGGATTTCCATGACTGACTCCAATTCTAGAAGATAAGGCCCCGAGTCAAAAGACCAGGGTCAGAGAACAATCGGAGGAGCAGCGGCTGGGTGGGGTCGGAGGGGAGGGCCGTTCTGAGGCTGGGAGACCCAGGCCCGTTTTCTCTTTCACTCCCAGGGGTGGAGAGCACCACAGGCTTCGGGGAGTCCTGGCCGCAGCGCTGTTTGCTTCGTGTCTGTGGGGAGCCCTGATCTTTACCCTTCACGTGGCCCTGAGGCTGCTTCTGTCCTACCATGGCTGGCTCCTTGAACCCCACGGAGCCATGTCCTCCCCCACCAAGACCTGGCTGGTATGTGAGGGGCAGAGCCCTCCCTGCTCAGGCCCTCCGGGGACCCACTTCTCTGTCTCCTTCTCTCTGGTCTCTGCCCCCACCTTTTTGGGACCCTGTCCACCTCTGGTCTCTATTCCTCCTCCTGGGTTTGTGTCCCCACTTCCTCTGGGTCTCTACCCCATTCTCTCTGTAGGTTACCACATCACCCCCGACCCTGGTCCCCAACCCCAGGGAGGGGTGTAACGACCCACTAATTCCCGCTTCCCTCCAGGCCCTGGTCCGCATCTTCTCCGGCCGCAAAACAATGCTCTTCAGTTACCAGCGCTCCCTGCCACGCCAGCCCGTGCCCTCGGTGCAGGACACCGTGCGCAAGGTGGGCCTGCCTGGGACCTCCACCGGGGGTTGGGGTGGGGCGGCCGGGGGCGGGCGGGGGCGTGACCTACCCTCTTCTCCTTGCCCCTCAGTACCTGGAATCTGTCCGGCCCATCCTCTCCGACGAGGACTTCGACTGGACGTCAGTCCTCGCGCAGGAATTCCTGAGGCTGCAGGCGTCGCTGCTGCAGTGGTACCTGCAGCTCAAGTCCTGGTGGGCGTCCAATTACGTGAGTCCCACACCCGGATCCGCAAGGTTCTGAGGCTCCTTCCTAACCTGTAGGTCTAGGCCCCGCCCCGCCCCACGCCCCCAGGCCCTGCGGCGCTGGAACATTTTTTGAGCCCCGCCCCATGCTCTATATTCTGAGCCCCGCCCCCACGCTCCCATAGTATAAACCCAACCCCAGATGCTCCGACTTGCTCCTCCTACTCTCCAATATTCTGAACCTACATATTGAGCCTCCCCACGCCATGCTCCGACATTCTGAGCCTGACTTCAATAATCTAAGCCCCGCCGCCAGGGCCTGCCCACATCCACAGCCCCGCCCCCAACCCTCCAGGACTGCATCCACAATTCCAGGACTTATCCAACATTTCAGCCCTCCCCTGGCAGAAGGCAAAAAACATTTTGAGCCTCCGCCCCCAGAGTTGTTCTTGTTTTACCCCCTCCTTCTGCGTGAGGGCACCTCCCCCAAATGGGCTTCTGAGTTGAGGAGCTAGGCCTTTGGTAGTACTCTGACTTGAGCTTCTTGGGAGACTGAGGCACAGAACAAGACGACAGTTCGCCCAAATCAGGGCTTACAGGCCTTTTATTATGTAGGGAGTCATAGCTAGCTGGCGGGCAGCGTGGGATGAGATGAGGTGCAGGTAGCAATAAAGACACATAGGGTGGTGTGAGTGTCTGGGGGGGTGGGATGGTCTGACCGGATGAGAGGATTAGGTTTCCAGGAGGAGCAGTTCTTAGGGCCGAGCCCTGAGGGTTGGACAGAACTTGAACCTGTCCAGGTTGGTAGGAGGGAGAGGGCTGAGCAGAGGTGAGGAAATAAGGAGGTTGTAGGGCATGTGTTGGGAACACGGAGGGCTTTCCTGTGGCTGGAACAAAGGATGGAAGGGTGATCCTCATGAGAGGTGATGGTGGAGTGGTGGGGAGAGGCCTGAACTCCAGCTGAGGACCTTGGGCTTTTTCTAGGGGGCGCCAAGGAGCCATGGGAGGATTCTGAACAGGGAAGAGTCAGGATCAGCTCTGCCATCTGGGAAAGACTGGAGGGGAGACCCTGGAGGCTGGGAGGCTGGAGAGGGTATTAGGGTGAGGACGTGGGCCGGGGGGAAGGACAGACAGTGGGATGAAGCAGAGTCAAGGCGGGAGGGTGGGGCTGGGACTGCCAAGCTGGGGGTGGGGAGATGGTGAGGCTGGCACCCACGGGCCTCACCTGGTATGGGAGGGACTGCAGGGCTCTCTCTGAGACGGGGAGAAGGGGAGCAGCTTTGCGGTGAACACGGCACTGAGCTCCATGGGGGTGCCTGAGGGGTACAGAGGAGATGCCCTGGGGCAGCCGGATCCCTGAGTGGGGGCTCAGGAAAGAGGCCTGGGTGACAGCAAACGGGACCTTCAGCTGCAGAAGGAAATTGAAACATTGGACTTGGAAGGGGAGAGGATCTGGGACAGAGCCCCAAGGGGCAGCAACATGGAAAGGTCAGTCAGACAAGCTCCGTGGAGGGGACTGAGTGGTGTCTGGAGGGGTAGGAGGGAAGCCAGGCCTTAAGTTTTACATTTTTTTTCCCCCTTCAAGCTGTTGGGCCAGATTCTGTGCCAAAACATATGCTCATGCATGCTCGGACACACACACACACACACACACACACACACACACACAATGTATATATTTCATCGTACCTCTGAGGCTCTGCCATCATAACATACCCCATTAGCTGAAGTACAACAAAGAAAAAAAAAAAGAAGGCCAACTAAAGTCTGACACAGTGCTGTCTTATCACAGACTTTTTATCTATATTTTTAATTTGTTATATAAATTTTATATATTATATGTAATTTTAAATTGTATAATATATATGATTGTATATTTTATAACTTATAGAAATATATTTAATATACCACGTAAAATATATGTAACATAGATATACATAATTTTTATTGTGGCAAAACGGACATAATATAAAATTTACCATTTTAACCACTTTTAAGTATGCAATTCGGTGATATTAAGTACATCCGCAATGTCGTGGAACCATCACGACAATCTGTTTCTAGAACTTTTCATCCCAAACAGAAACTCTGTACCAATGAGGCAACGCATCCCCATTCCCACTTCCCCAAAGTACCAGGTAACCTCTAGTCTACTTACTACCTCTAGGAATTGACCTATTTTAGATTTTTCGTATAAGTAGAATCATACGCGATCTGTCCCTTTGTGTCGGATTCATTTCACCAGGTATGATGCTTTCAGGGTGCATCCATGTTATAGTGCACATCAGATTTTCATTCCTTTTTATTTATTTTTATTTAAGATTTTTATTTATTTGAGAGAGAGAGCACAAGTGCGTGGGAGGGTCAGAGGGAGAGGAAGAAGCAGACTCACTATTGAGCAGGGAGCCCGATGCAGGGCTCGATCCCAGGACCCTGAGATCATGGCCTGAGCTGAAGGCAGACCCTTAACCCACTGAGCCACCCAGGCGCCCCATTTTCATTCCTTTTTATATTAACATTCCATTGCAGGGGCGCCCGGCTGGCTCAGTCAGTGCAGCATATGACTCTTGATCTCCGGGTTGTGAGTTCAGGACCCATGTTGGGTGTAGAGATGACTTAAAAATAAAATCCTGGGGTGCCTGGGTGGCTCAGTCGGTTAAGCATCTGCCTTCGGCTTAGGTCATGATCCCGGGGTCCTGGGATCGAGCCCCAGATCGGGGTCCTTGCTCCTCAGGGAGTCCGCTTCTCCCTCTGCCTGCCACTCCCCCTGCCTGTGCGCTCTCTCACTCACTCTCTCTCAAATAAAATCTTAAAAAAAAAACCACAAATAAAATCTTAAAAAAAATTCTATTGTATGGATAGAACACACTTTAGTTGTCCATTTGTCTGTTGATGGACACTTGGGTCTCAGTGGTATTTTTTTAAATCTCGTGTGAGATCATTTCACATATATTGTTGTGCACCTAGCTTTTTTCAGTTGGCAGCGTGTCTCGGTGCTTGCTCATTCTGTGGCAGTAATATAGATGCGCCTTATTCTTTTTTTCTTTTCTTTCTTTTTTTTTTTAAATTTATTTGACAGAGAGAGACGCAGCGAGAGAGGGAACACAAGCAGGGGGAGCGGGAGAGGGAGAAGCAGGCTTCCCGCCGAGCAGGGAGCCCGATGCGGGGCTCGATCCCAGGACCCTGGGACCATGACCTGAGCTGAAGGCAGATGCTTAACGACTGAGCCACCCAGGCGCCCCTGCACCTCATTCTTTTTTAAGAGCTTGGTAGTATTCCAGAACGTGAGTGTAGCACGGTTTAGCTAACTGCTCCCCAACTGATGGACTTCTAGGTTACTGCTAGTTACTGATCACGATGACCTCCTTCACTGAGCTCCACCCTCCCCGTTTGACACAGCAAAGTCTTGGGGGTCTTGCCACTCCCGTCGCCCCCCCCACCCCGCCGCCATCTTGGCGGCAGCTGCCCCAGTCTCACATCTCTCTGCCCCGCTCCTAGGTCAGTGACTGGTGGGAAGAATTCGTGTACCTGCGCTCCCGGCACCCGCTGATGGTGAACAGCAACTATTACATGATGGTGAGGGGAGAAAGCTGGGGAGGGGCTGTGTTCCTAGCTCCCCGGGGCTAAGGTTGGAATGTCTCTGTAGAAAATGGGGTGTAGGGTCAGTGACCCCAATCAGAGTCTACTTCACCATCTCGCCGCCTGTTGGGGGTCAGGATCTGGGTTTGGGATCCGGGCCCCCGATCAGGGGGCCAAACCTGACCCCAGGCGTTTTGCCGTCCCCTCGGCTGGCCCCCAGGACTTCCTGTACGTCACTCCCACACCAGTGCAGGCCGCTCGTGCTGGGAACGCAGTCCATGCCCTCCTCCTATACCGCCACCGCCTGAACCGCCAGGAGATCCTGCCTGTAAGAGCACCCCCCCCCCCAAACCGTGGGCTGGGGACAGAGCGCCCCTCCCCCACCCCCACCTGTGGGCTGGGGACGGAGCCTGTGGTCCTGTGGCCTTGAGGCCAAGTGGGTCCTGGGAGGCAGCCTCCTCCGGAGCCCGTGGTCTCTTGCAGACTCTGCTGATGGGAATGCGGCCCTTGTGCTCTGCCCAGTATGAGAAGATATTCAATACCACACGCATTCCCGGCATCCCAAAAGGTGAGATTCCTCTTGCGTCCTCACTGACAGAGGCATCACAGTGTAGTGGTTGAGAGCATGTTCTCCTGGGCTCGAATCCCAGCGCCATCGCATCGCTCCCTAGCTGTGTGACCTTGGGTCGGTGACTACCCTCTCTGAGCCTTAGTTTTCTCATCTCTAAAATGGGATAATACTGGTACATAGGGTGGAGAGGATTAAATGAGTGTTTAGAACAGTGCAAGCCAGGGCGCCTGGGTAGCTCAGATGGTTAAGCGTCTGTCTTCCGCTCTGGTCTTGATCCCAGGGTCCTGGGATTGAGCTCCGCATGGGGGGCCTGCTTCTCCCTCTCCCTCTACTGTCCCCCCTGCTTGTGCTCTCTCACTCTCTCTGTCAAATAAATAAATCTAAACAAACAAACAAACAAACAAAAAAACCAGTGCAAGCCATACAGGACATGCCTAATAAATGGTTCTTATTTTTAAAATTTATTTTAGAGAGGGGCACCTGGAGGGCTCAGTCATTAAGCTTCCGCTCAGGTCATGGTCCCAGTGTGCTGGGATCGAGCCCCGCATCGGGCTCCCTGCTCCACGGGAGGCCTGCTTCTCCCTCTCCCACTCCCCCTGCTTGTGTTCCCTCTCTCGCTGTGTCTCTGTCAAATAAATAAATAAATAATCTTTTAAAAAATTACTTACTTATTTATTTTAAGATTTTATTTATTCATTTGAGATACAGAGAGAGAGCATGAGCAGGGAGACAGGCAGAGGGAGAGGGAGAAGCAGGCTCCTGGCTGAGCCAGGAGCCCGATGTGGGGCTCCATCCCAGGACCCCGGGATCATGACCTGAGCCGAAGGCAGATGCTTAACCATTTGAGCCACCCAGGCGCCCCTAAAAAAAAAAAAATTATTTTAGAGAGAGAGTGTGTGTGCGCGCGCTGCTAGCAGGGGGAGGAGCAGAGGAGGAGGGGGAGGGAGGGGGACTGAATCCCAAGCCAACTCCCTGCTGAATGTGGAGCCTAGAGCAGCTGGATCCCAGGACCCTGAGATCATGACCTGAGCCAAAACCAAGAGTCAGACACTGAACCAGCTGAGCCACCCAGGCGCCCTAAATGGTCCTTATTCTTGCAGTGTATCTGACCTTCCTGCCGTCCGCCCTTCTGCCCACCCCACCCCTAGACCACATCCGCCATCTCCGGGACAGCCGACACGTGGCCGTCTTCCACCGAGGCCGATTCTTCCGCGTGGGGACCCACTCCCAGAGCGGCCTGCTCTCCCCGCGGGCCCTGGAGCAGCAGTTCCAGCGAATCCTGGACGACCCCTCCCCCGCCTGCCCCCAGGAGGAGCATCTGGCTGCCCTGACCGCCGCACCCAGGTGAGAGTAAGAGCTCAGGGTTCCCGACCGTGCAGCCAGCCTCTGGAGGTTGGGGAAAGGCAAGCTGCGGGGCCAGGCAAGAGGGTGGGCAGGGTGTGTGGGCTCAGGCACGTGTCCCAGCCCCTCCCCCTCCCCAGGGATGTGTGGGCCCAGGTGCGGAGTTCCCTGAAGATCCAGGCCAAGGATGCCTTGGAGGCCGTGGAAGGAGCTGCCTTCTTTGTATCACTGGACTCGGAGCCTGCAGGGCTCACCAGGGAAGACCCCGCAGCTTCACTGGATGCCTATGCCCGTGCCCTACTGGCTGGCAGGGGCCATGACCGGTGAGTCAGCCCCTGGACTTGAACCTCACCCCAACTGGTGGCCCCAGAACCCGGTATCCAGACCTAGGACTCTGGGCACTAGACAAGCAGACCCTGGACCCCAGATCTGAGGACCACCAAACCCCAAACCTGGACCTTCCAACCTAGAGACCCCCAAAGTCAGAACCCCAAGCCTGGGGACCTTAGGCTCAGAACCACAGAATCCTTTTCATGCAGGCACCCTGGGACTTCCTACCTAGAGATCCTCAGACAACTTCCTAGATGCACCCCAGGCATCACTCTGATTTCTGAGGTTCCCAGAAGAGTCCCCCTAACCTCTCAGCTCCTTGGGAACCTTGACCCTTTCTTGGTATGTTCCCTCAAAATCTTCCAATTTCCCAAGCCTTAGACATGCCTCAGAAACCATCTAGACCGCCTGGTGGAGACCCCCAGCCTCTGGTTCCAGAAAAATCCATCCACCCTGACACTCCTACGTTCCACAGAGAGCACCTGAGTTCGCTCTTGGCCCCTTGGTGACCACTTTGAATTCTCCCCCTGTAGCTGGTTTGACAAATCCTTCACTCTAATTGTCTTCTCCAACGGGAAGCTGGGCCTCAGCGTGGAGCACTCGTGGGCCGACTGCCCCATCTCAGGACACATGTGGGAGGTAGGACGGCCAGCCCACCCCCGCCCTGGGGACCATCGGCCCCATTTCCAAAGATCTTCCTCTCCAGGGCCTTACACCCAGAGGGAAGACAGAGGCCCAGACAGGCAAAGATGAGACCGGAGTCGCCCAGCAAAGAAAAGGGTGTCTGGGATTATGACCTTCTTTTGATGGATGGGTAGTTGGGGCTCAGAGAAGGGAAGTGATTTGCCCAGAATCACCAAGCCAGCAGTTGTAGAGCAAGAATGTGATTCCAGAATGCTGTGTGACCTCGGGCAAATGACTCCCTTCCTCTGAGCCTTGATTCTTCCTTCATCAGATGAAAGGGTTGGATTTTCTTTGATCTGGAAGCTCCCATCCAATCCTAGGAACCATAGCATCTCTATTTTCTCTATTTTATTTAGTCCCTAAATCATAGAGGGTGGTGCCTATACCCTACCAGGTTCCCACTCTTCCATAGCGTTACACGAGGTGTTGGATGGGGCCCAGGGTGGGATCTGGTGTGTATGAGGGGAAGAGAGGCCCCTTTGAGATCTTAGGAGCAGCCCTGGGTAAGTACTGACTCTTCTGTGCCTGTTTCACAAATGAGAATTTTCCCCCTTTGATGATACTGGTAAGTGAAACTGTCAATTCGGTTGAACCTCAGACCCCTCAGACCCTTCTTGTCAACACGAGGTCTCTGCACATTGGCTTTGAATGAAGAGATGTCACATAGAATATGGTATAGATCATTGGAAACTCCAAGGCCCCAAGTGAGGTGTTCTTCTCCTGATATGTTTCTAACATTGCAATGGGGATGTGAATCCCTTCTTCCTAAGTTATCGTGAGAATTAAGTGGAAGGCTGGCGGGTGGTAAGTGCTCCATCAGCGCTGATTTACACTAACAAGGGGCGCCTGGGGGGCTCAATCGGTTAAGCATCTGCCTTCTGTTCAGGTCATGATCTCGGGGTCCTGGGATCGAGCCCTGCGGTGGGCTCCCTGCTCAGTGGGGAGTCTGCCTCTCCCTCTCCCCCTGCTCGTGCTCTCTCTCTCTCAAATAAATAAAATCTTTTTTTTTAAGATTTTATTTATTTATTTGACAGAGAGAGACAGCGAGAGAGGGGAACACAAGCAGGGGGAGTGGAAGAGGGAGAAGCAGGCTTCCCGCGGAGCAGGGAGCCCGATGCGGGGCTCCATCCCAGGACCCCGAGATCATGACCTGAGCCGAAGGCAGACGCTTAATGACTCAGCCACCCAGGTGCCCCTAAATAAATAAAGTCTTAAAAAAATAAGAAAATATTTAACAACCAGGAGGGCGCGGGCAGTACCCAATCAGAATGGAGGCGGACCCCTCTGGAGGTCCATACTGTGCTCGGCTCTAACTCTCCCATCTCAGGATCCTGGTGGAGGTGGTGGGGGGGTGTGTCTTGGGAGGGCTGGGGCAGCCGTTGATGGCTCTTTATCTACCAGTCAGAAGCAAAGGGTCAGTAAGCACCCGCTGAGCGTTAGTATTGGTCCCGCTCTCAGTGAACTTGAACCTGAGAACCCACCTGTGAATATCAGAGGTTTCTGTTTCTCAGGGACTGCCCCCCCTTCCCCCACCCCCAGGCCCCAGAAGGGACTTATGAAAAGAAGTCCCTGGTTAGATGGCTCTCAGCCCAGAGGGAGGAAGGGGCTCTGACAGCCTCCGTTTGTACACAGTTCACTCTGGCCACGGAATGTTTTCAGCTGGGCTACTCGGCAGATGGCCACTGCAAGGGGCATCCTGAGTCGTCGCTGCCCCAGCCCCAGCGGCTACACTGGGACCTTCCAGAAAAGGTGAGACGGGGCTTTGGGGCCTCTCCTCCAAGTACCCAAGTCCCCCTGGCTGTGACTCGAAACTCATCCCCACCTCCAAACTTAATCCCAACCCCATCCTTCCCCAACCCCAGTCCCACCTGACCTCCATCCTTAATCCAGCCCTTCAGGGACATGTTCATTCATTTCTGCACTCCACCCCTACCCTGACTCGGTTCCCACCTCTACTTCCAGCCCCACTCCCGGCTCTAACCCTACCCCATCCATAACCCCAGCCATCCCTCCCTCCCTCCTCCTCTGGCAGATCCGTCTGTCCATCTCTCTAGCCCTGAGGGGAGCCAAGACCTTGTCTGGAAACATTGACTGCCACGTCTTCCCTTTCTCCCACTTTGGCAAGAGCTTCATCAAACGCTGCCATCTCTCTTCAGACAGCTTCATCCAGGTGGCCTTGCAGCTGGCCCACTTCCGGGTCAGTTGGGGCCCTCGACCTCAGCCCCTTGCCAGGACTTTGGTTCCCCTGGGCCTGCCTTGTCAGTCCCTTTAGTGACTCTTCCTGGTCACTGCCCTTGTGGGTCTGCCATCTTGATTTCTCTCTCCCAACCACACATTCCCCAAGCAGGAGGAGGAGGGAGGTCTACACAGAGGCGGGTCAAGTCTCTGAAGATTTCCAGAGACCGGCTGACAGGCTCCTCTCTTCCTTGTCCCCCAGGACAGGGGTGAATTCTGCCTGACTTATGAGTCGACCATGACTCGCTTGTTCCTGGAAGGCCGGACAGAGACGGTGCGGTCTTGCACGAGGGAGGCCTGCAACTTCGTGAGAGCCATGGAGGACAAAGAGAAAACAGTGGGTGTAGGCCTCATTTGAGGCTTTGGTCATTTCCATATACTCATTCCTATATTTGCAAATATTTTTGGAGCACCTTCTGAGGACCAGGCCCCACGATGGGCATTATGGACAAAGGAGGAACCAGACCTGGTCTCTGACCTCAAGGAACTCACTGGTGGGGAGAGACTGAGATATTTCAGCGTAGTGCAATACATGCTTTAATGGGGGTCACATAGGGCACTGGGGGGTACCCAACAGGGATTCTTGGTTCCACAATGTAGCTCTCTTTGATTATTTAACCTCTATGTGACCTTGTGACTTCCATTTGTACCCTTCCATGTAGTCCCTATATAACCTCTCTACTCAGAACCCCCCGGGTATCTCTGCTCCCCCTACCCCCTACCTATTCTGGCTCAATGGAAGGAGTTGGGGCCCTATATCAGGCAGACCTGGGAACCCACCTGATTCTGCTTTGCTGTGTGACCTTGGGCAAGTGTCTTCCCCTCTCTGAGCCTGTTTCCCCTCTGTAAAATAGAATTGATATCTCTGCCTTGCAGGGATTTTGCAAGCTCCTTTGAGGCCGGGGGTGTGTGACAAGCCCCAACAGTAAGCCCACTTCCTGTCTTTCCATGACCTGTGACCTCCCCGGGGGACCCCAGGAACCCCAGCGCCGTGCTCTGTTCCGCCTGGCGGTGGAAAAGCACCAGGCTCTGCTGAAGGCAGCGATGAGCGGACAGGGAGTCGACCGCCACCTCTTTGCGCTCAACATCGTGTCCGAATTTCTGCACTTACGGTCGCCCTTTCTGGACCAGGTTGGGGTGCAGGGAAAGGGTTAGGGAAGAGGGGAACCACGGGAGGAGACGGGTACTTCGGGATAAGGAGGGTGAGGTTGGGAAAGGGAGGTATTAGGGGCACCTGGGTGGCTCAGGGGATCGAGCCCCGCATCGGGCTCCCTGCTCCGAGGGGAGTCGGCTTCTCCCTCTCCCACTCCCCCTGCTTGTGTTCCCTCTCTCTCACCGTGTTTCTCTCTGTCAGATAAATAAACAAAATCTTAAAAAAAAAAAAAAAAAAAAAGGAAAAGGCAGGTATTAGAGGAGAGAGTTGCTGCGGGGGTGGAGAGGGGGGGAAAAGGGGGAAAGAGAAGAGAGGGGCGGGGTCAGGGCGAAGAGGAGGCGTGGCCAGGGTGGGTGAAAGGAGGCGTGGTCAGGAAGATCGAAGAGAAGGGCGGGATCAGGCAGAAGCGGAGAGGAGGGTTGTGGTCCGAAAAGGAGGAGAGCGGAGGGGAGGGTGTCAGGGAGGGGAAGGACAGAGAAACCGGGCCATTTAAAGGAAATCGGCAGTCAGGGGAGGTCAGAAAGGGCCAGGGTTGCGTGGAACCGAGCCAAGGGGGCGCGGACCGGTGGGTCTGTCCGTCTTCATTGCATACTTGACCATCTCCTGTCCCTCAGGTTCACTCGGAGCAGTGGCCTCTGGCCACCAGCCAGATCCCTGTTCAGCAAATCCACCTATTTGATGTCCACAATTACCCTGACTATGTTTCCTCTGGTGGTGGATTTGGGCCTGTGAGTGAACCCGGGCCTGATCCCACCTGCCTGGCCCCGGGGCCCTGAGGGATGAGGGCGCTGGGGGCCTGCACTCCGGCCTAGCGGGGGGCGGGGGGGAGGACACCGGAGGCTGTTTGGTTCCCCTCCCTCTGTCCCTCTCCAGGCCGATGACCATGGTTATGGCGTTTCGTACATCTTCATGGGGGATGACACCGTCACCTTCCACATCTCCAGCAAAAAATCTAGCACAAAAACGGTGAGACGGAGTTGCACACACACCCCTGTACCCTCCTCCCTCAGGACCCAGGGATCTGGACTCCTAGCTCCCTCCCCTCCTACAACCAAGGAGTCTAGAATCCCAGCTCCCCGCTGCCCCCACGATCCAGGAATCCTAGTCCCAGCCCCCTCCTCCCTCAGACCAGGACATCAGGGACACCAGCCCTCTTGTTTTCCAGCACCGAGGAGGAGTCCCTCTCCCAGTTTCTCCTGGACATGACGTATTTCTCCTTCCAGGACTCCCACCGACTGGGGCAGCACATTGAGGACGCACTGTTGGATGTGGCCTCCCTCTTCCAGGACGGGCAGCGTCCTAAGCCCAGGTGCAGAGGGTTACAGGAGGAGCACACGGGGCACAGGGGTGGCTCTCTCCCCTGCCACAGGATGGGCTCCAGGGCACCCACGAAATCCACCAACTTTTGACCCCTCCCTGCAGGGAGCTGGTCTCCCCAAGAGCTAGAGAGAGGGTCTCTACACCTGGGCTGGTACAGGACAGAGGTGGCCTGTTTGGGTTTGGAAAATCCCACATCTGGTCCAATAAAGATGCATAAGCTGGGCGTGTGGTGTTCGCCGTGCTGTCGGGCTGGGCAGGGGTGGGAGAGGTGAGGGTTAGGGTGGAGGAGGAGAAAAGTTCCCCTCCAGCCCCAGGCCCAACCATGAATTCTCAGTTACAGTCAGTTTCAGCTACAACCCCCAACCCTGCCCATTCTGTTGCATTCCCAGCTCCAGTCACACCAAACCTAACCATCCAAGGCCCACCCCAGTCAAACAACCCCCAAAACTCTCATTAGTCCAGTTCCTGCGGTCGCAGTGCCCCTGCCCACCCCAAACATAAAGATTGACACCATTCCACCCACCCTAATTGACACCCCTCAAATGAACCCCTCAAGATTCTTATTTCTCAACCCCACCCCCAGCCATTTCAACCCCCACCTCGATGATGGGTTCAGCTCCCATAACCAGGAAATGCACTACCTAATGTTCGCCCCTCACCACTGTCGATTCCAACAACCAACGCCTCCAAAACAGCACACTCCACTACACCTAACAACTCAACCACAGTTCGGAGCGTACGACCAACACAAAATGTCCAACCCCAAACTCCATCACCCCACCAAAACTCCCATCCCATCCCCACCATAACCCAAACTTAAATCTGACCCATAGTTATGACTTTAAACACCACACTCCTTGATCGCACCCCCGCTCTACCCCCGCTACACTTACAACCCCCACCAGCTCAACTGCAGTCATATCAACACCAACCCCATCTAACCACACCGAAACCCCAATGATCCAGTCCACCACTGCCATGATTCCCATACTCCATGATACCAAGCCCCGTTGTTTCTGTCAAGTTAAGCATAATAACCCAAGCCCCACAACACATTAAAGTCCTGAACACCTTAACTGCCGCGAGCCCAACCTTCACACCCAGCCCACTAACTCTAGTGGTTTTGAAAAATGTCCACAAGTGGGGCACCTGGCCGGCTCAGTCAGGAGAGCGTGCAACTCTTGATCTCGGGGGTGTGATTTCAAGCCCCGTGCTGGAGATCGAGTTTACGTAATTAAAAAATTTTTTTTTCCACAAGTACTTTGACCCTCTTCCCTCCAGAAGGTGGACCTTCATCCTTCTCCCCTTGAGTGTGGACTGGAACTAGTGACTCTTTTCCCCCAAGTAAAAGAATATGGTAGAAGTGACTGTGACATGAAAGACATTCTGGCTTCCTTCTCGCTCGCTCTCTCTCTGAGTCACTTGCTCTGCGGGAAACCATCCGCCATGTTGTGGGAACACTCAGGCAGCTTGTGGGGAGGCCCACATGGTGAAACACTGAGGCCTCCTGCCAACCACCAGTGAGGAACACGTGAGGGAACTATTTTTAAAGCAGATTCTCCCACCCCAGTCAACCTTTCGGATGACTGCAGCCCAGCTGACCTCTTGGCTTTAACCTCATATGAGACCCTGAGCCAGACTCCTGACTTGCAGAAACTGTGAGATAATAAATGTTTGTTATTTTAAGCTGTTATGTTTGGGGTTTTCTCTATATGCAGCAGTAGAAAAGTAATGCAAACGCCAAAGACCTCAGCTTCAACCCCATATCCCTAACCTCATCCCATTTCCAAACCCATTCCTATGGTGGACAGAGCCTGAGGTGACCCCTGACGATCTGCCACCTCTCGATGTCCACACCTTTGTGTCATCCCTTTGAGTGTGAGCAGACCCGGGGCTTACTTCCAATCAATAGTATATGGCAAAGGTAATGGCATGTCACTCCCTTAATCACTCCATGGGGTGAGAGATTATCTATGCTGGCTTGCAGCCATGTTGAGAAAGCTTCCTTTCCAAAGAACTGTGGGTGGCCTCTAGAACTTGCGGCCCACCACCAGCCAACATCCAGGGAAGCTCTGGAGCGCTCAGTCATACAGCCAAAAGAAAATGAATGGATTCCACCAACAGTCTAAGGAAGCTTGGAAGTGGCTCTCCCCTCCAAGTGGCGCCCCAGAGAATCTTTTTTTTTTAACTTAAGATTTTTTTTTTTTAAGTAATCTCTACACTTATGAGTTCAAGGGGCTCGAACTCATAATCCTGAGATCAAGTGTTGCATGCTCCACTGACTGCGCCAGTCAGGTGCCCCTAAGTGGAGAATCGAACTAAACTCTGTCTGGACTTCTGACCTATGGAAATTGTGAGATAATCAATGTTTGTTTTAAGTCTCTAAGTTTGGGGTAATTTGTCATGCAGCAACAGACAATGAAAACAATCCCCCGTTTCATCTCCCACCAAACCATATCCCCTTCCTGTGAGAGAATACATTCTGTTGTTTAAGTCGCTATGTTTATGGTACTTTGTGATGGCAGCCTAAGAAAACTGATATAAGGGTCATTATTCAGCCCACTGTACTGAGTTTGGTCATTGTACTATGGTTAGACAAGATGTTAACATTAGAAGGTGAGTAAAGGGTGTGCAGGAACCATCTGTATTACTGCTTTTTTTTTTTTTCTAAAGTAGGCTCCAGGGGCGCCTGGCTGGCTCAGTCATTAAGCGTCTGCCTTCGGCTCAGGTCATGATCCCAGGGTCCTGGGATCGAGCCCCACATCGGGCTCCCTGCTCTGCGGGGAGCCTGCTTCTCCCTCTCCCACTCCCCCTGCTTGTGTTCCCTCTTTCGCTGTGTCTCTCTCTATCAAATAAATAAATAAAATCTTAAAAAAAAAAAACAACCCTTATCTTTAAGGAAATGCACACTGAAGTATTTAGGGATGAAACAAGATTATATGGGTGAGCTTCCCAGGGATCCCGCGGAGAGGCATTACATTGTTGTCTATTGCGGCTGTAACAAGTTGCCACAAATTCAGCACTTTAAGTAACACTAACTTATTATCTTACACTCTGGAGGCCAGAAGTTCATTATGGGTCTCACTGGGCTGAAAGCAAGGCGTCAGCAGGGTTGAGTTCCTTCCTGGAGGCTCTAGGACACTTCATTGTCCTTCTCAAAAAGCCTCTAGAAGCCGCCCACACTCCTGGGGTCCCAGCTGCTTCTTCCCTCTTCATGGCTGGCATTGTTTCCTCCACTGTGCCTTTCTGTTCTAGTCATATCTTCCTGTGACTGACGCCTGCCATCATCTTTCACTTATAAGGATCCTTGTGACTATTCGGGGACCACTGGGAAAATCCAGGACTAGCTCCCTATCCTAAAACCAGCTGTTGAGAAACCTTAATTCCTTCTACAACCTAATTCCCTTTTGCCATGTAGCAGAACACCATCACAGGTTCCGGGGTTCAGGATGTGGACATCTTTGGGAGGGGGCATTGTTCTGCCCACCTCAGGGGCATCAGTGAAACAAGCTTGGACACAAGTTGACAAGTAGTGAAGCTAGGGGGTGGTCATTGGGGTAGGGACTTCATCATATTATTTTACTTTTGTATATGCTTCGAATTTCTGTAATGAAGAGTTAAATGAGTAAAAATACTGCCCAGACTTTTTCTACCTCTGTCAGCTGATTTTAGGGAACCCCTCCTCACTTCAGCCCTGTTCAGTGTAGTCTTAAGTGTCGGCTCAGGGACAGGGGCTAGTGCAATGGTGGTGAATGTCATGGGGGTCTAGCCCACGTGGTGATGCAGTTTATTTGTGTCCTCTGGCTCTGCCTGTCTGATCTCAGGTCCATCTTCTGACCCACTCCACCTAAAATGCTCGAGGGGGTCCAACAGAATGAGCCCATGATCACAAAGCTACAGTAATCACAGTAGCATGGTACTGGCATAAAGGAAGGCATGCGAACCAATGGAAAAGAGTAGAGAAGTCAGAAATAAACCGTCGTACATGTAGTCAAATGATCTTTGGCAAGTGTGCCAAGACCACTCAATGGGGAAAGGACAGTCTTTTCAAAAATGGCATTAGGAAAAATGGATATCCACATGGAAAAGAGCAAAATTGGACCTTTTCCTTACCCCATGGACAAATAGTAACTCGAAATGGACCAAAGACCAAAATGTAAGAAATAAAACTATTAAAGCTCTTTTTTAAAAAAAAGACGTATTTTTTTAAAGTAATCTCCACACCCAACACGGGGCTGGAACTCACGACCCCAAGATCAAGAGTTGCATACTCCACCAACTGAGCCAGCCAGGCATCCCTATTAAATTCTTTTTTTTTTTTTTTTTTTTTAGGATTTTATTTATTTGACAGAGAGAGACGGAACACAAGCAGGGGGAGTGGGAGAGGGAGAAGCAGGCTTCCCGCGGAGCAGGGAGCCGGATGCGGGGCTCGATCCCAGGACCCTGGGATCATGACCTGAGCCGAAGGCAGACGCTTAACGACTGAGCCACCCAGGCGCCCTCCTATTAGATTCTTAAAACACAGAGCAAAAGCTTCATGACATTGGATTTGGCCATGACTTCCCTGATGTGACAGCAAAAGCAGAAACAAAATTAAATAAAATAAACAGATGAAAAAAAAAAACTTCTCTGTATCCAAGGACACAGTCAACAGAGTGAAAAAGCAGCCCACATGCTGGAAGAATATATTTGCATGTCATCTATCTGATAAGGAGTTAATATCCAGAACTCCTACAACTCCATAAGAACAAAAAACAAATGACCCCATTCAAAAATGGGCCAAGGACTTGAATAGACATTTCTCCAGAGAAGATACACAAACAGCCAATAAGCACATGAAAAGATGTTCCTGGTGGTTGCCAGGGCTGGAGGGAGGAATGGGGAATGAGGCGGTTTTGTTTAATGGGCACAGAGTTTCTGTCGGAGATAATGAAAAGTTCTGCAAATAGAATGGACTGTGGCAATGGTTAGACAACATTGGGAGAGTAATTAACGCCACTAAATTGTAAACGTAAAGATGGTTAAAATGGTGACTTTTATGCTCTGCCTGTTTTAACCACAATTTGAAAAGCCAACCATTCCATTTGGTCATGATCCTGTGACCTGGATTGGGTTGGGCTCAACCGTCTTGCAGTGGTCACCAGTGTGGCTGCATTGAGCTGGAGCGTCCGCTGGGACATGGAATGGCTAGGACTCTCCCCCTTCATGGGATCTCTTCAAGAG